TTATTTATTATTATTATTAGTCATGAAAAATATTATGAGTAATACACACAGTCTCAGTATAATGTATATTTAACTAGTACAAACTTAGAAACTATCTGCAAAAATCTCCAATCAAATCCAAATTTTTTACAGATAGTTTAATTTGTACTAATTAAATATCCGTTATACTGAGACTCACTGTGTAATTTGCAATGAAATTTTTGATGATCAACCATCACAATCAACCCAAACAAGAATGGTGAATGGTTATAGTCAGCCTAGTTGGCCTAGTTGTTAATATTAGGAAGACTATAATGGGCAATTTTTTTTGTAAATCTTGCCATGTAACAAAATAATACAAAGATTACCAAAAAGTGGTACAATTTTTACCAAGGTGACGGGTTTACTATTAATGTTGTTAACTATAATCAGCAAACAAAATGAGTAAATTTTAACTCTCTCTTTGAATACAGTTATACCTTTAGATCAGAACACTCAATATAAGGACCCGGACAATCATATTAGAGGTAATAGGGCACTCAATTAGTGAGAATAACCATTTTTACCCCTAAAAAGCTTGATAAATTTTACCCTGAAATTTTCATATCACATCCAAAAATATGTAATTTTACCTATGAAATTCCCTATGACATTTTATTTGTTTTATTTAAATATTTAGACAATGCAGAATAGACAATAAAATCTTTTCATCTGTTAGAATTTTATAAATTTTAAATGCATTTGAGTGTAAAGTAATCATATTTGTATTATTCATACTATACACACTAATTGAAATTTGACTACCATGATAATAGATGATTTATTTTGATGACAAATGTGAGAACAATTCATGTTCATCTTTGCTTGTTAAATAAATAATATTATTTTGAAGATTAACATATACTTTAGAGGAAACATTTGAAATAATATCAACATCAGTTATTGCTTCTTTTGTGTAATTGAGTGATAATATAATTGCTAGAAATTGAACAAGATGAATTTTAGAATTAATTAGTGCCAAGGCAAATCCATTGGTGAGATATTTGCAATAGTGATAGCTGGTATAGAAGGTGATTCTGCATTAAATTTAAAATTAGTAACATGTTTTTGAGAAGATTAAATATTCTTACCAGAATTATTTAAATTTAGTTGGTTCAATCCAGTATCTTGAGTCCTTCTTTTATTAAATTTTTAATGTATTGCTTATTTGATTTATATTGTCTAATCTCTTTCTCATTCCCCATCTTATCAAATGTGATTTTGGTTGATTGTCATTACTAAAGCTCCTAACGGGTCGGGTTCGGACGGGTTAAGTGTCAACCCGAAATTTTCGGGTTGATTTCGGGTTAATAAGAAAATTTTGTGATTTACATAAATTCAGATAATAATAATTAATTAAATATAAAAGGCGAAACCGTTATAGTGGTTTAAAAGCTGTAATTTGTCGCAAAACACAATTCATGATGCAAGAGATGTAGAACTCAATTCGTGACGCAAGACGTAATTCAAGACAATTCGTGACACAATACATAATTAAAGACACAAGGCTGGTGGATGACGGCCGGAACTAATCATAGTTTAGGCCCAATACTTCTAATATTAAATTTTCTTCTGTGTGCTTCATGATTTATTGTACAATAAGCTTAGCATTACATATGAAAATTTTTTGAAAATCTACCTTAGTTTTATAGTATATGACCAGAAAATTTTTTAATAAATTTTACCCGAAAAAACGAGATTAAAATTTTTTACCCTTTTTACATGCACATCTTAACTCGATAAGTCGGACATTTATTTATATTATAAAGTACTTTAAACAAATTGATTGCTGCATCCGACTTATTGAGTTTAGATGTGTATGACCTTTTTTATCCTTACCTATGATTTTCCTATGACCTACCTTTTAAAAAGACAGTTTTTTCCCACTTTTTTTTTGCATATGACATCAATTATGATTGTCCGTGGTTCTTCCATATATACAAGAACATCATATAAAAGCCTCTCTATAAGAATACATGTTATGAGCTGAATTACTATTATTATGCTTATAAAAAAAATAACCATCCAAGAACGATAAGGTCATTTTTAGAGAGGCTTATATGGAGGAGTAATTACTTTTTTTGTACAAAATTACAATGGAAATAAAGCTTGTTTGTTTCTTTTTTAAAAATTATTTCAACTTTAAAAAAAAAAATAATTGATCGGAAAGTAGTTTCTTTTTTTTCTATCTTCTCATAAAAAAATGAGTTTATATTTCAAAGATATCGGACTTTATTTATTATCTATCATAATATTTATTATTACTAATGTATTTTCAGATTCTAGTATATCACGTCATGCAACTTTTAGCGTAGTGGTGGATAATAAAATTTATGTTCTTGGAGGATTTAGTGCAGGAATATCATCTTCAACGGATTCATTATTTTATGTAGATTTGACTAAAGATTTTGATGCTACAAAGGTACCATGGGTAGATGGTGATAAAATACCTGTAAGAACTGCTTGGGGCGTAGGCGCTGTTGGTGGGACAAACAAATCTACAATATTCTTATTTGGTGGAATTATGGTCAGTTCAACTTCCAATGCATATAATTTCACCAATTTGCTTTATGCATATGATATACACAAAAATGTTTGGTATACACCAGGAACAACAGGAATTATCCCCATGAATCGTCGAGAAAGCAGTATTGTGGTGGATGATAAAGGAAAATTATATATTTTTGGTGGATTGGCAGATGAATTTACTGGATCTCCTAACTTTATCATTTTTTACGATATATATACTTTGAATACAGCAGATCTGACTTGGGGTCGAGTCTCTGCAATTGATCCACCATTACCAACTTGTGATCATACTTCAACTTTATTACCTGATGGTAGAATTGTAATTATCGGTGGAAGAGAATCAAATGATACTAGCGGTCTGATTCTTCGTGAAGTTGACATATATAAAGTATGCATTTATCTTTATAATTTGAATTTATATATATATATATATTTATTTATTTATTTATTTATTTATTTATTTATTTATTTATTCAAATATGTTTATTTTGTAGATAAAAATTTTTAATACAAAAGATTTACAATGGACAATTATGACAACCACTGGTTCACAAACAATTCAACCTCGATATGGTCATACGGCAGTACTAGGTAATTAATTTTATTTATTTTAATTTTTTTGAAAATATAAACAATTTTTTTAATATCACAATGTATGCATACACAGCAAATAATACAAATATAATTGTTTATGGTGGTATGAGATATCCAGAAAAAACCACAGCATTTCCTGAACTTCTTGTACTGGACATCAGCACAAATCCCTTCCAATGGTCTACACCCAAATTTTCACTTGATAATCGTGCTCCACCTCTAACAATGCATGTAGCTAATTTAATTGGAAATCAAATGATAATAAGTTTTGGTAAGTTTTTCCTTTAAAAACAAATTTTTATTCCTTCCAACCTAAAATTTATTAATATAAAATAAAATTACATACATATATATAGGAAATGTTACAAATAATGACACAAATCCAAAATCATCTAGTGCAGACACTCATATACTTGATATTAAAGATTATAGTTGGAAATCAAGTTATTCAGCATCTGAAGCAAATTTAACACCAATACCACCACCACCACCACCACCATCACCACCACCACCATCAGCATCATCAACATCATCAAAATCACAACCAGAAACATCATCACAAATTATTATTAAAATATTAATAATAGTACTTCCAATTTCAGCTGGATTAATAATGATTGTAGTAGTGGCATCATTTGTTATTATAAGATATTACAAGAAAAAGGATGAAAAAATTATGAAGATGCCAAGTGAACAACATCTTCGACAACACAGAATTCTGGTCAAGAGATATTATACTTGGTCAAATAATATTAATTGTTAATAATGTGTTTGTGATTATATTATGGTCATTATTGACCGTAATATTGTATTTATAATAAAATCATTAATATAGAGAATACCTGAATGCTATTAATATATTTATTTTACCACGACTCCGCTTAAATTCTCCAACACACCATATCTGTAATTAGCATAAATTGATTATAATCATCTCTATATTTGTGCCTATTGTTTTGTAATTAGTTGTTCTACAAAAACATTTCTCTGATATTGCATGTATAACATTGGTTCTCCAGTTTTAGAAACTTTGCATCAGCCTCCTCAGATTTATCATTAAAAAAAATCAAATCGTGATTTAAACTGGCTTTCAAATAACATTTTAATTCCTGATATAGCGATTCTATTAATAATTTTATTTTTAGAAAAATCTCATACTCAAACAGGATTATATTAGTCCGAAATCTATACTATGTAAAATACGATTAATAACAAATTCGTTATGTTTACTTGTGGCAACATTTATTATTATGAGCAAAAGGATAAAGGACAGTAAAGCTCTGTTCATGCCCATCGATAAGAAAAAAATCATATCATAATTGTTCTTTTCTCAATAAAATAAATTTTGCATTTCTTCCAAGATTCGCTTTTATTATAAATTAAAAACTTGGACAAAATTTTTTCCTTCAAACTCTCGATTCTTTCCCAAGCACTATTTGGATGGAAACATCTCCTATTGTCAACTACATTTTATTAAAAGAAGCTGAAATTAATATGAGCGTTAAACAAATTTGCGGTCGCACCCTACATTTAAAAAGGCATCAGTTGTGTTTACTTTTAACTTTGAAAAAATCTTCACATTGATAGTAATAGTTAATAGTAATAGATGAATTTATTTTCCCGTTTACCATTTATAAAACGTATTAGGAAGTCTGTTGAACATTTAAATTGTTCCTTTTTTTTCTGACCCTATTTTTTTTCATAGAATGAATCTATTATAATTACTATTTATAAAAATTTTTTTATATCTCTCTGTTTTATTAATTCTATTTATTTCTAATAAAAAATAAATTGCAGATATATATATTGTTGGTTTTTATGACTTTTATGACATATAAATCTAATTTTTTTATTATATTATGGATGTAATACTTCGTATAGGAATTCTTGCGGCAAGAGATTTAGCACCAGCGTAAGTAATTCATCTATTATATGTTTGCATTAAAAATAAGCATTATATACATTAATCAAAAAACTAAATTTTTTTATAGTGACAAGAATGGGTTATCAGATCCATATGCAGTTATACGAGTAGCAAATAAAAAATTTGAGACAAAAGTGATTAAAGAAAATTTAAATCCAGTTTGGGACACTTCGTTTGATGTTAAACTATCAGAACCTGACATACCACCTTGCATCACAATAACTGTATGGGATAAAGATAAGTTCTTGAGGGATTATTTAGGTGAGGTTAGCATACCAATTAGTCGAATATTTGCTCGTAACAATGGTGGTTTGAACGATGGCCAGCCAAGAACTTTTGAAGATCCTAAAAATCAACCTGCTGCCTTCACCCTACAAAGTAAATCATCCAAACATGAAGTCAGAGGCGATATCGTATTGAAATTTGGTATTGTTTCTGAAGGCAGTGAGGAAGATTTATATTATTTATGGGAAAAAATTTGTAGGTTAGCAAACGCAAAGAAATGATCTTTTTAGAACAATGTTGATAGTGGAAGGAGAATATGGAAGGCAGAGTCAAGAAAGAAATACGGAAGCAAGAAAGTGAAAGCAAGAAGAAAGGAAGGAAAGAAATAAAAATAAATTTTTTATTTTCTTATTTATTATCAATACATCGCTATATAATATATATATCGTATATTTATTTTTTATGTATTTATTTATTTATATAATTCATTCATTAAATAAAAAAAACTTATTAATTTCAATTTTATTCAAAATACTTAATTGGGGAAATTACACGAGCCAGATGGGGTAATTAATATGTGGTTGATCTACAAAAAGGAAGAAAAACCCCTTCTTTCCCTTTATAAAAATAAAAAAATTTAATTTTCTCTCCTTTACATAATAAATTTTATATTCAAAGAAAAAAATGAGCAACAATAATGCTACAACAAATGTTACTGGAGATCAATTTATTCGTACATTAGCTCAATTCATCCGAGCCAACGAACGTAAAATAACTATGCAAAACCTACAACAACAGTCTTCTTCAGGTCATTTATTGGGTACTCGAATGTCAGAAAATAGTTTAGGAAATGGTTATGGTATACCAAGTTTCTGGTCTTTCTCTACTGCTCTTGCAAGTTCTTACATGAAATCTCCAACCTCGCCTGTTTCAACAACTCCAACTTCTCCCGTTAGCCCTATAGGCAATAATAATTCAAAAAGGCCTGTATTTGTTACACTTGATCCCCATCACTTATACTATTTATTGGCAAGATTTAACGATATAGGGCTTGATATTGGTGTCTTTGAAGCAATTATAAATTTTGATAATAAAGATATGGATTTTGATGTTAATGACTCATCATTGGAAACTGCGTCAATTACCTCAATCAATTCAATCAATTCAATATCATCTGCCATGTCTTCATTATCCTTATTCTCGGGTTGGCAAGGTTGGACCAATGCAGCTCAAAAAAATGAAAACATACCAATAAAAAGTGAGGTTTACTACATTTACAAAAGTTTCACTAAACTCACCAATTTAAAACTTAATTCTACAATTAATAATAAAAGAATTGATGGTTTTGGCACCCACAATAATAACGATGACAATTTTAGAGTTGGTATTGATGGCGTTGGTTGGCCTTTAACTGCTACATTGTCAATAACCCTGTTTAAAAACTTGACAAATTTAGAAATTTATGGATTATCACCAAAAGTTTTTGATGGTTGGGACGTTGTACAAGAGAAATTGGAAATATTAACTTTAACTAAAAGCCCAATTGATGACATTACTGAATTATTTATTGATCTGGTAGCTGATGGATTTAAAAAAAGAAACACAATGGTTAAAGAAGCAGCAGCAAAAGCAGCAGCAGCAAAAGATAATGATGGTTATGGTAATGAAGATACTGGTGATGATAAAATTATTACTGTTAATGATGTCGTTATTAATGAAAAAAAGAATAATGGTAATGATGATGATGGTGGTGGTGGTGGTGATGATGTAGTTGCACCATTAAAAATATGGAAAAATCTTCGGCAAATCAATTTATCTGATAATGCATTGACATTTATTCCCAATGAGCCACTCATATATCTTACAAAATGTACACATATAGATCTATCGAACAATCTGCTGATTGAAATTCCGTCCGGATTATCACAATTGTACAATTTACAATGTTTGAATCTTAGTAATAACATGATTGAAACAATAACTGGTATTTACAAAATACTTGGTAATGTAACAAAATTGGATTTAAGATCTAATCGAATAGAGAATTTATGTGGTTTGGAAAGGTTATATTCATTGGAGTATGTTAATATTAGAGAAAATCAATTGATTGATTGGGCTGAAGTTACTCGAATGACTGAACTGCCTGAGATAAGACAAATTTGCGTTGATGGTAATCCATTCACGGAATATGAGACTAATTATAGGATTAATATTTTTAAAGCATTTAAAGAAAACAATAAAGATATTATTTTGGATGGGATGACACCTACTTATTATGAGAAAAGATATCTCCCATCATCACCAGTTACGTCAAACCAAAAAATTCCTGTTGCCATTCCAAGCCCTGAAGGTCTTTTGTCCAATACCAATAGTTTAAATAACGAGCAGCAGCAGCAACAACTACAACATAATAATAATAATCATTTACCAGTTATAAAACATAAAAAATTTCATAAAAGAATTGTTAATTTAGATGAAGATCATGATAATCGTGATAACGGTGACAATAATACTCATAATGACGATAATAATGATTTAGTTGATTTTCGCCCAGCAAATATTGGTAAAAAGAAATCAAACAAAGATAGAAAAAAGAAAAAAGATCTTGGGGAGACAGCGACAAAACATCGAGTTGTTGAAATTGAAAAGGCACATGACCCTAATTACAAACCAAAGAAAAAATTGGTGAAAAAAGGTCAAAACACCGTATCAATTTTCTCATCACCGTCATCATCAACAGCTATAGAAGATGTGGACACAAAAACAAAAAAAAAAACATCATCATCACCACATAGTGACTCGGAAACTATTTTGTCATCTAAGGTTAATGATGGGGTAGACTATAGAAAGAAAATTGAAGAGTTACGTAACGAAGGCGGATCTTCTTGGCTGACTGTTTTGAATGAGATGGAAAATTATGACAATAACAATAATAATAATATAAATGGTATTTTACATTCAAGACAAAGATTAGAAAATTTACGACCAAAGCTATCGCCGAACAAGTTATAGTTGCCATTTATTAAAATAATTTGACATATGCACATACACACATGTGTATTTTTATTATGAATTAATAATTATTTATTTATATAATTTTCAACAACAATTATAATTAATTGTAAATAAATAATAATCCATTAATTTTTGTATATATTAAGACTATTCAAGACATTTTTCATTTTTTTAAATTTTATTATGATTAGGATTATGAGAAATTATATATATTATGCTATGTTATATTATATTATATTATATTACATTTATTTTATTACGGTGAAATTAGATCAGGATGGCTTAGGGATGTTATATCATTGATCAATTAAACATAATATATATATATATATATATATATATATATATAATATACGCATATACATGCACAACGAATTAGACTTTTTATTATTATTTTATTATTTTTATTAGTTGGAATTGTAAATATATTAAATTGTTTTTTAATAATTTTGTCTATATAATGGTTTTTTTTTAAACATTACTAAAATATTTTTAATGTCCAAATAACTTCAATTAGTTGGTTAGTAAAGTGAGAGTTGGTGATTTGAAGAAAATTGAGAATCGTGTGTTTAAAAGAATTGATTAAAATTTGTTGTTGCTGTTAAAATATAAATATATTATCACTGTGAGAAAAAATTTGATTTTCTAAATGGATTACTATCTGATGAATATGGTGGCGATGTTGATGGTGATATTAATAATGATGTTGATGGTGATTGGACGTTAAGTGAAACTAGTAGATTTTGTTGTTGCATCGGTGAAGCAAATGGATTGCTATTATTACCACTGTTAATGTTATTATTAGTAAAAGCAGGAGGAGAAAATTGTCCAAAAGGATTATGAGGTGAAGAGGCTGTCATTGCAGTTGTTTGTTGCAATTGTCGTTGTTGATCTTGAAATAACATTGAAGAACGAAATGGATTTGTATCAGATGATAATGATGATGAAGATGCAGATATAGGATTTAACATTAATGATGATTGCTGTTGTTGATTAATAATAGGGGAAGATTGCTGTAATTGTTGTTGCAGAACCAATTGATTTTGACCAGCTAAGAATGGATTAGTGGTTGTATCCGTAATAGTAGTAGTAGTCATAATATTACTCCTTCCTAATGAATTATTATTAATTATTATATTATTATCAACATATTGATTACCAAAAAGTAAAGTTTGTTCACTTTCAATATTAGAAGAAAAATCTATAAAGTCCATCTGATTATGATTTGCCGCAGTTTTAGAAATGGATGAAGCTGAAGTTGCATCCTTTTTGGTCAAAAAGTTTGCATTACTGTTATTATCACTGGAGCATATAGTCGTTGTTGCTCCATCTTTTCTTGTGGCAGATTTATTATTATTTTCATTTTTACTTTTTTCTTGCGTATTTCTATATTCTCGTCTATTTGCTTCAAAATTTGGATCTTCGACATAATCTTGCAATGCAATTGTCAATGAGACTGGTGCCTAATACAATAAATAGTATATGTATATGGAATAAATTATATACACAAATCTATTTCCAAGTATAAACACATACATATATAATAACTTACATGTTTTAAGTTGGGTATTTTGATACCAAGTACACTTTGTAATTTTTGAGCAGCCCTTAGATAAATAACAACTTTTTCAGTTTGTTTCACAAATTTTTTATAAATTTCTAATCCATCTTTTGCATCTATTTGTGACATACTAACAAATTGTTCTATATGCGCGAAGAGTATGTGACGTTAGTGAATTAATAAATTAATTAAAAGTTTTTACACACAAATCAAATCAAATTAAAAACAACAACAAAATAAAATCAAATATAAATAAAAGCTTATTACACCTAACATATTAATAACGCCTTCATTCGTTGTTTCAAAAAGTACTAGCAAGTCGATGACAATAAGTCTGAATGCTGTCAATGTTACATAATTAGCAACCTCGTCCAGATAAAACTAATTAAAATAAACGGATATATAAATTTATATTAAAAACCATATATATTAAGCACAAATATATTCATACCTTACAATTTAATAAAGCATCTAATTGTCGTTGAAGAATCTTAACTTCTCGCAAAAGACCCTTGGCAACTGTAAGTCTTCTTAAACGACTATTATTCTCTAATTTCTTTTCTTTAACAAAATTGACCTTTAACTCTCGATATACTGAAACCTTTTCTTCCAAGTATGCAGCGTATGAATGAATATTTTTAGTTTGTTCGGCTCCTTTATATTATTATTATCACAATATTAATTGATTTTTGAAATTGAAATTTAAAAACACTAATGTTTTGGTAATAACTAATAAATTATTATTATTATACCATTGCCTATTCCTGATCCTTTAAAACCTGACAAATTTAAAATATTTGGTTTTCTAACTAAATAACTTAAAACTTGACCATCAACCCCTTTTCTCATCAAAATATGAATCACAATAAGACTTTTGAATACGATCTTTTTTCAAAAAAAAAAAAATTTAAGTCAATTAGTGTTAATAAATTAACAATTAACAAGTTTTTCGCTAAAATTATTCTCTTTATATAGCGAATACTTACCGTCCAAGAATTTTCTCGTAAACGATGTTCTAATGACGCAAATATTGTTTTCAAAGCATCACTACTTGAAGTTGCTGGTATGAGAACTATATAAATAATATGTAAATTAAAATACCAATAGAATTTAAAATTATAAATGTCAAAGATGAGAAAATTTTACCCTCAAGATATTTTTGTTTAGGTGCTGCACATTTTGATTTAGTTGCTCCTTTGACTGCTCTGTCCATTATTTTTTTCTGAATATTTTATAATTTGGATTTTACCAACCAAAAGGGTTATTTAAATTAATTCGTGATAAAATTTTAGGTGGTACAAAAAACCTTTCTATTATATTGACCGTGTATATATTTCCATTTGCAGGTCACAAACTTAATTATGACGCGCTTAATATTAATTTTAGACCCTGATCACCAGTTACTCAAATTTGAAAAAAATGTCAACAAATTTATATTTGTAAATGAAATAAAAATAATTAATAATACCAATAATAAAAATAAAATATACTTCTAATAATAAATAACAATGGCACCAACAGCAACTGCTCGAGAAAACGTCAAAGTTACTGTTCGATTACGACCACCAAATGAAACTGAACTTACTAGAACCGATTTTAACATTTGGGACGTTGATTTCAATGAACACAAATTATCATTAGAACAAATTTTTGCTGAAAAGAATCGTAAACAAATAAGTGAATTTTTTTATGGTTTGTATGCATGCACTGTGTGTTATACACATAATCATTATAATTTTTATAATTGGAAATGAACTATATACATCAATTTTTACACTATCTATATGTTATCACATTTAGATGAGATTTTCACAGGTAGCGATAATAAAGCTTTATTTGATCGTGGAGTTAAAGATACAATCAAGTAAGTAAAATTATTTGATGTGTTGATTTTGTTACTCTTATTAATTGTATTATTATAATTGTATAATTTCAATAGAGCTACCATGGAAGGCTACAATGGTATGTGCAATTATATAAAAATGTGCTCTTGTGATGTTAAAAAATAATATATATATCTTTCTAAATTTAATATATAGGTACAGTTTTCGCATACGGTCAAACATCCTCCGGCAAAACTTTCGTAAGTGATCAATAATTATTCAATGATATAATTATTAAGTTAAATAAATGAATAAATATCTTCTAACTTGACCCATCTTTTATATGTTTTATTTTAGACAATGGTATGCATGCGTTGTTAGACTTTAGATTGTTATTCGTTCTCTCATTTGTTTTCTACAATCAACAAGTATTAAACTTTTTTATTTTTATTTTGTATATGATAATAACAGTCGGGTAAGTATTTAGTCTACATGTTTGGTTGATTGATATTTAATATATAATCTATATCTGCAAAAATGGTGTATTAATGACGTTCTTTTATGATATATTCATTTTGATAAAGGTAACAAGAATCAACCTGGTGTGATTAAGCAGGCTGTAGATACCGTTTTTTCATATATTAGAAATGCAAGTAAATAATATCTATTAATTTCGAATTCCAATGAATTAATTATTAATAACATCACTGAATTATTTATAGTGTAACGAAAAAGAATTTCTACTCAGGGTATCATACATGGAAATATACAATGAAAAAATAAATGATTTACTTATTCCTGTTAATAAAGATCTTAAAATTCATGAAGACAGATTAGTTAGTATCAATATAATTTACTATATCATTTATCATTATTTTTAAATTTGATATCTTATTTATTTGTATGCGTTATTAGCATGGCGTTCATATTCCTAGTCTCTCAGAGGTTGTGGTCACAAAACCTTCAGAAGTCATGAAGGAGATTTCACGAGGCGAATTAAATCGTCATACAGGTTCAACAAATTGGAATGAAAGAAGCAGCCGTTCACATACATTATTCAAAATGGTAATTGAAAGTTCTTCAAAAGATGCTATGCCTCGTCGGTTTTCATCATCCTCATCGGCTTCATCATCGGCTAAAACATCGGGATCTGTTTCTGTTTCTGTGTTGGTATATATTTATTTATTTATTTTAGATTTGATTGTTTTATTAATAATCACCTGATATCTAAGAATATATACTCTTTTATTTATATTTAAATAAAAGAACTTGATTGATTTAGCTGGGTCAGAGAAAGCTGCGAGTGATATGGAAAGAAGAAAAGAAGGAGCTTTCATAAATAAAAGGTAACATCTTTTATGCTCTTACTAATAATTCTATTACCACAATAATGATAATAATAATAATATCATTAAAATTAATTTCTAGTTTATTGACCCTTGGAAGCGTTATATCAAAATTGACCGATAGCTCTGGGTAAATAAAAATTTTAAAGTTTAATAATTAACCTCATTTAAAAAAAACTAATATTTATTATCATTATATTTGTAGTGGGCATATACCTTTTAGAGATTCAAAATTAACAAGAATTCTTCAAAGTTCTCTTGTTGGAAATGCAAGGATATCTGTCATTTGTACAATTTCTCCATCATCATTAAATCTAGAGGAATCAGTTAATACTCTTAAGTTTGCCTCTCGTGTTAAGGAGGTTGTTACTAAGGCTCAAACTAATACGGTAATTATTATTATTATTTTATGAGAATATTTATATAATTTAATTGTTATAATAATTTTTTATTATATCTCTATGTATGTATGAATAGCTCATTGATGATAAGGCTTTAATTAAGAAATATCGTATGGAAATTGAAGAATTAAAAGCCCAACTCGAAAAAACTGGTACTTATAAAGAAGAGGAAATTTCTGTGATGTTACAACAAGAAAGATCCAAAGTAATATTATTGATATATTATATTTGTAATTTATATTAATTTATTTGTAAAAGTCATTCTAATTTTTTTTGATCTCTTTAATAAATATATATAGTACGAAGAAAAGTTTATGGAAATGGAGCTTGTTAGAACTGCATTAAAGAAGAGAATAGATGACTTGACGAGTTTGATTTTAAATAGCAATTCATTTGCTCCTTCTTCATCACGAAAACCATCTAATGATGCTGTTGTTGTTCCTGTAAATAATTTATATATAATTCAAATAATCACCATTACTATATCAGTATTCATGTTAATTTAACATATTTATTCCTATTATCAGGCAATTGATTCAAGGATTCATGAGTTTGAAATGTTGATTGATGATAAAAATTTAAAGATTGACTCATTAACCTCTAATATTTCTGAAAAAACTGAAACGATTAAAGATTTGCAACGACAGTTGGAAGCATTAAAGAATACCAACAGGTCGGACTTAAATTTGACATTAACTGAACTGAATGAAAAACTAAAAGAAAAGGATGATAAATTAGTGTCGTATTGTAATTCGACAGAGGAGTTAGAAATAATTGTTAAGGAGGACAAGAAGCTTATTAAAGAGAAGAATTCCAAGATTCAGGAATTGTCAAATATTATTGAAGATGATAAGATACTAATCAATAAAAAAAATGAGAAAATTCAGGAATTGTCAAATATTATTGAAGATGATAAGATACTAATCGGTGAAAAAAATGAGAAAATTCAGGAATTGTCAAATATTATTGAAGATGATAAGATACTAGTCAGTGAAAAAAATGAGAAAATTCAGGAATTGTCAAATATTATTGAAGATGATAAGATACTAATCAATGAAAAAAATGAGAAAATTGAGGAATTATTATCAGAAGTGATAAAGAAAGATGATGCTGTTGAAGAAAGAAACACAGAAATCAAGGAATTGTCATCAGAATTGACAATTAAAGATAGATCAATCAGTGAGAAAAATGTCAAGATCCAAGAATTAGCACTTGAAATATCAAAACTAGGCAAAATTGTTGATGATGATAAGAGATTATTCCAAGCATTGTTATTGGATATATCAAAAAATAACAAAACTATAAACGAATTGAAAAATCATTATTGTGTAAATACTAAAACAATTAGAGGGCTTAAAGAACAACTATCAAAGAAAGATCAGGAGATAATTTTGTATAAACAAAAACAAGATTTTGAGGAGGAATTAGAGGTGCAAAGGGTTATTGAGCAAAGAAGCGGGTTAAATTACTTCATTAAGGAACACCTTATTCCTTCAAACAATTTCTTTTACGATTTTATTGGGGAAGTTGTGATTCCTCTTATCATGGTCATATTTTTAATATTTTTTTTATTATATAGTTAATATATAGCATTTTAATCATAATACAACAAAAAAAACATCATAATCATAATAATAATCATAATCATAATAACAACTAAAAATAATCATCATAATCATTGTAATTATAGCAATTAGGATTTAATAGGAGTTAAAACTACGAAATGGTTTTTTACACCTTGTAAATTTTTTAATTTCATATTCAATCATATTCATATTACATTATGACAATAAACCCATTAACCATTGGTCGATTAACCATTATTAAAAGTTTATACGACTATGTGATTTATAGCGTTTTTTAATGGCTTTTTCTTGAAAACATTTAAATAGGTTATAATGTAAAGTTTATGAATCAAATCATTAAATAATTATTTTTATTTGGTGATTTAAAAATTACCACTCCATTAAAAATCACGTGTGCGTGAACAATTGTTCATGGATCAAGTACTGATTATGTTTTATTTACAAGTGGTGCACAAATTATAAGTCAACTAACATCAAGAGTTTATGAAGAATGGCCAATAAAAATGCACTAGAAACTATGGGATTATTTAACACATCAAAATTTTATAAAAGAGTCGTGAACCTGAAAACCAAATACCGATGTTGATGAATGCTGGTATTTCAATGGTACAAAAGGTCAAATTGCCATAAAATTATCTAGAAATATTGTTTTCACTCAATTGGCACTACATCATATTGACAAAAATGTTTCAATTGATCCAATCAGCTCCGTTTCTAAAGATTTTGAATTATAGGGTTACCTTCAGACAATGACGAAAAAACAAAGTGATATTTGGAGTGATGATGATTGTTATTAATAGTGATGGTGATAATAGTGTCAATAATCACACCCATGATAACATTCACAATCATAATATCCATCATATTCATAATGATAAACTTAATAATGACATCAGCAGCAGCAGCAGCAATAATAATGATGATGATGAAAACAAGAACAATTTTAAACTACTCAAGAGAAAAATTTTTAAAAATAAGAATTTCAATATGATCTAATGGGCAAACCTATTGCAAATATTCCATTTGCCAAATCTAAGAGTCAACAATAAAATGCATTCAAGCTATAATTATGAGGATTTTGAATAATCACAAGAACCCAAGGTTTTACTTGTTTATATAGGCTTCAAGTACACGGACTGTTTCCACAATAATAATTAATTATATTGTGAAAACGTGGAAGGTTAATTATTATTAATTTTTTTTAAGAATTTATTATTTGCATTTATTTCCTTCCCTCTTTGTGTATATATATGTACTTGTAAATATTATTATTATTATGCATATATAAATAAACATAAATGAATAAAAAAAATTTTAATCAATCTTCAAATACAAAATTATTATTTATTATTTCATAGTTATTTTTCTAAAGTACATTCACAAAATCTAATAAATTTTTTTTATTACAAGCTTTAAAAAATTTCCAACCCACCACCCACTCATCTACACATTTATTTTATTATTTATTATTCACCAATCTTTGGTGCAAGATAATATCTAAGAAAACTGCATGTAGAATTTATAGTATATTCTACGAGCAATGGCATCTCTTCAGATAAACATAATCTAACATGCTCAGATAATGGGGAACCTTTGGTAAAATTCATCAAGTATTTAAGTGAAAATTGAAGCGAGACTGGTTTCTTAACAATGATTTCGATAGTTTCTTCAGGCTAACAAATAAAATATTTATACATGTTAATAAATATTGCAAGTAATATTTTTAAAAAAAGCAAATAAATAAATATTTTAAAGATCATTAAAAAAAATAGTTACTTTATCCATAGGGGAAGTTGGTTTCAATTTTATGTTGCCATTACCAAGTTCACCTTCTGTAACGAATCTAATTTCATCACAGTCAATTTCGATCGTTACTTTTTTTTTTAAAGAAAAAAATAATCTAATTAATTAAACAATATATTTCAAAAAAAAAAAAAACGACGATATTATATAAATTACCAGTTTCGCCAATGACCATCATGTCACGACATACTCTTTGAAATTCGGCAGAAGGTAAACTTACTATTGCATGATATTCTGTTTCTGGAATACTTAAATGTTCTTGATCAATGTCCATTAATTTCAATTCATATTCACTAAGTTTATCATTTGCTTATAAATAAATAAACAATTAATTAATTTATTAATCAAGAATAATTTATTTTCTAAAAGTTTGCAAATATATTTTTTTGCTTACTTGGGGCTGAAAATGACATGGATAAAGTTTCAGGAGAATTGTCATCGGCTTTTAATGTGATAGAATCATCATTTCCAGCACACCTCAATAACTTGTTAAGAGAAGTTAAATTTACACCCAAAGAAAAACCTCTATCACATCGATATGTAGCAAATATTTCAGAACTTAACAAAAGTGATATCAGTGCTACGTGTGAGTTATCCATGGCTTGAAGTGCAATACCCGTCTCACTACAATCAAAGTTTGCATCTGTAACAAGTTCTTTGATAGCTTCTAATAATTTTTTAAGCATTAAACCTTGACTTAAATGTGCTTCAAACATTTTTATTACTGTATGTAAATATTATTATTTATTAAAGTGAAAGGTATTATTATTATTAAAGTTATTATTTTAATAAAAAATTTTTTCTGTCTTGTTGTTATTTATTTTTTTATTTAAAGAAGGGTGATAATAAATTTGAAAGCAACGCGTAAAAAAAAAAAAAAAAAAATCGTGATTTAAAAAAAAAAAAAAAAAAAAAAAATTTTTATATTATATACATCAAATTTTATGGGAATATAACAATTATTACTATTATTATTATATAACGAATGATGATTCAGTCAGTCATGATGATATTTGAATAATTGCAATGTCCATCTTAATGGTAAATAATTCTTATGATAACCTATTTAAAAATTTAATTATTCAGGGTCTGGGACACTTTACCGACACCCACTTTACCGACAACACGCGGGGTTACATTTAATCTCTACATATTCAAACAAACTACAAAATGCTAAAATATCACGTCGCGTGTTGTTGGTAAAGTGGGTGTCGGTAAAGTGTCCGGGTCCGATTCAAAACTTTAATAAAATGATAATCATCACTACAGATATTATTATTATCATTATTATTATTATTATTATTAAATCTAATAAAAACAAATAAATAGAGTTTTACTTGAATAAGTTTTTCATATTCATTTTGCCTTGAGGAACATTTTGCTATTGAATTCAATTGTTTTCTGATTTGTCTTTTTAATTGATTGGAACTTAAATTTGAAAATTTATATTGGAACTAGCAATAATAATAAAAAGTAAGCAAGTAAATTCATCAGTAATAATAATAATTTGTTGTTGTTGTATCCAATTATTTTAATGATGATGACTAACTTTGTAAATGTAAATTTTCCAAAAATAAATCTACCATCTTGAAATATTCCACCTAATATTCCACCATCATCAAATTCATTTAAACAACATATTCTAACACATCCATTTGGAAAATCAATGAAATCAGGATTTAAAGTGATAAATTGTTCTATAAAATTTTTAGAAAAAAAAAAAATATATTTATGAAATACTAAAAAATAAATGTTATGACATTCTAATTGATTAATTGATTATTACCATTTTTGTAAATCACTTGATCAAAATTTAAAGATATTATTTGTCCTTTATCAACTGACATGATCAATCTATTCTAAAGTAATCACTTTGGTATTAACATATATAGATATATATATATACTTGCACATGTATAATACTTGACAATGTATTTCCTACCTTATAAAGAAAAGATGAATGAGCAGTATTTGGAACATGATATTCTTTATATGCAATTGATGTAATAGTAGAATCCTGTTTTGAAGCAGAATAAATGGTAATCAAAGTGATTGTACCCTCTTCACTAAAAAATAAATAAATAAAATTAGTCAAATATTTTTGCTTTTTCTAACAATGCAATAAGATAATTAGTTACCCAACTATTATGAATATCATCTAAATTTTTCCTTGTAAAGAATAAAATACTAGATTCTGGAGTACTTTCAAATTTTAAACATATTGAATATATAGTTTGAATTGATTCCTTTTTAAAAAAAAAGTTTTAATTTACTAAGCTTATATATATTATTCAAATAAATTTTTTTTAAAAAAAAGGCCTCACAATTAATGTAGTAAGTGCTTCTGGAACAGAGTTTAGTGTTTGAAATGTGATTAATCCATCTGAATAGCCAGTTAAGAATATCTCTTCCTGTAAACTAGAATATATATATCTTAATTAATCTTCTTTTTTCTAATATATTGATTGTTTTTCCACAAATGTTTCTAATTTTAATTACTTTTCCAATCCAAATATTAATGAAGCAAAATCATGATTGATTAATGATATTGATGAATCTGTTGGCTTTTTTCCTTTTAAAATCTTTAAATTATATAGATAAAGTGTTGAATTTATTGTTATTAAAGAAAATATATAAATAAATATATTGTGTGTATATAATAAATTGTTAAGGATATCAATTAATTGACATTTAAATTTTTGTCCTTTGACTGATCCTTGACTAATTGAACAATTTAAACTATTTGAATTTAGAGGTTTATAATCATCACTCATTGATAAAAATTCCATCTCACCATTCTCACATCTAGTTAGAATACCATGAACATTTGAAATATCATATGGTATTAAGTAATATATATTACTCTATTAATTAGCACAAAATTTTGGGCATGAGTAAATTATATTTATGATGAATATTTATAAAAATTTATAAAAATATTACTTTGGTATATTTGTAAATAATGTCATTTTCATAGAATTCAATTGGATGTATTCTTTTAGAGGCTGGATTTAATCCAGTAGTATCAGATGTGAATGTGGATGATTGATTGTTAAGTGGATCAAATGTTCTTTCACTATAAAAATATGGAATCAATATTAATAATAACAAATATTCTATCTTAAATTAATTTTATAAAATAAACCTTTTCTCTCTTTTTATATGTGACTCAACTCTCCAGAAATTCCCATTATCATCAAGAACTATACAAGTAATTATCCAATCAAGCTTATTTACTTCTTTACTATTACTATTACTATGATTATGATTCGATGAAGAATTTACAAGTGTCACATCAATGATATCAAAAGGAAATTTCCAGATTTCTTTTAAAATATTCTTATAGAATAAATGAAGTCTATTTGGTAAAATTTTAATAATAATTATTATATAATCTTGATCTTTTTTATTTAATGTTTTTAAAAAATATTTTTAATTGTTGGTGTTGGAAGTCGATAAGAGCTTTTGATTTGAATTCCATCTTTTGAAATTATAAACATTTAATCATGTGAATTATTTATGGAAAATGGCTGGCTATAAATAAAATGCCCACAATTTTTTTACTTCTAAAAATAAAACTATTTATTCTAACAAGCTTAAATAGTAAATATAAATATTCTTTATAGAGTTCATTATTTAATATATTTCCTTAATACTAATAAAAATAATATAATTAATCTATATAGTGAGTGTGTTGATTGAGACTACTGTCGGTGACATTGTTATAGATCTTCATACAAAAAGGTGTCCACAAACTTCTTTAAATTTTATTAAATTATGTAAAGTTAAATATTATAATTTTTGTTGTTTTCATAATGTTCAAAAGAATTTCATGGTCCAAACCGGAGATCCAACAGCTACCGGTAAAGGAGGCGAATCAATATTTGGTATATTGCACGGCCCAACACGAAAATATTTCCCAGCGGAAATTCATCCTAAACTAAAACATAAAAAAATAGGAACTGTTTCAATGGCTGTTGCAAATGATGATGGTGGTTCGTCATCATCATCAACGACAGATAGTACTGGTGTCAGCGGTTCTCAATTTTTCATTACAACAGGCGAAGATCTTGATTATTTAGATGGAAAGTATACAGTGTTTGGCGAAGTTGCCGAAGGATTTGATACACTTGAAGAAATTAACAATACTTATTGTGATGAATCTGGTAGACCATACAAAGATATTAGAATCAAACATACAATAGTGCTAGATGATCCTTTTCCTGATCCTGATGGTTTGATCATTCCTGATAGGAGTCCTGAACCAACAAAAGAAATGTTGGAGACAATAAGGATTGGCGAAGATGAAAGTATAGAACCAGAACTTCCGCCTGAGGAATTGGAAAAACAACAACGACGAACAGAAGCTCAGGCTGAAGCATTGACATTAGAAATGATAGGTGATATACCTTTTGCTGAAGTTAAACCACCTGAAAATGTATTATTTGTATGTAAATTAAATTCGGTGACAAGAGATGAAGATTTAGAAATGATTTTTTCACGATTTGGCCCTATTAGTAGTTGTGAAATTATTCGTGATAAGAAAACCGGAGATTCTTTATGTTATGCATTTATTGAATTTGAGGATAAAGACGATTGTGAAAATGCGTATTTCAAAATGAACAATGTGTTGATAGATGATAAAAGAATCAAAGTTGATTTTTCACAATCAGTTTCTAAACTTCATCAAGATTGGATTTCTACTAAAGTTAGGAAAAAAGTTGATGGCAGTAGCAGTGGTGGCGGTGGTTATGGTGGCTTTGAAGGTTTAGAAAAACGTAAAAGATATCGTGAAGATGGTCCTCTTATACACCCAAGAAAAAAATAAATTGCAAATTTATATTTATATTATATTTTTTAAAAATATTCTAGTGTCTGTAGTAGTTATTCTACATAAAATTAATATTAATAAACAAAAACAAATCTTTTCTAATTAATTAATTAATAAATAAATAAATAAAAATATATAATTATGTTATTGATTAACACATGTATTCAACAGTAGGTTTAAAAGTATATTTGTCATCGCCGGATCTTAATTTTAAAATAACTTTACTTGACCATTCTTGACCTTGCATTTCTATTAGCCTGCTAACAGTTCTTTCGAATGCAAAAATTTCTTCTTCGCCTGTAAATATAGGATTTGATTTGTGTTCATCATAACTTAAACCTAAATCATCCAATAATGAATGTTTATGATGTATTGTTGTTGATGATGATGATGATAATAGGTCTTCTTCAGTTGTAAATAGTTCAGTTACAGGTACTTCAGCTGAACAAATTAATGTTTTCTTAATATATTGTAAAAGAAAAAATTCATCATTATTATTAACATTATTAAATAAATTTTATTATTAACATTTAATGCCTACCTTGGTATCATATAATGCATCTATTAAAGTAATGAATCTTTTGGCTTCATTTTTCAAACTTAAAGACATTCTTGGCACATCAGTTAGTATGATGGTATTATAATATTTAGTTAATTCTAAATAATCAGCAGCACTCATAGGCTGGCAACATAATTCCTGAAATGTAAACTTTGCAACATCATCGCATGATTCTGGTATTGTAAAATATCTACCCCATAATTCCAACTTAGCCTCATTGACTTGCTTGCCTGTTGTCAATCTTTTAAATATTTTATTGATTGCTGATTTTGATTGTTCATTTAATGGTGTGAAATAAGTACTTGTTGTTATTTTACGTGACATCTTTCGATAATCAGTTCCTGAATTTAGTGTGTGCACATTACATTTTTCCTTTATCAAATCAATACATGGTATAAAACTTTTACGTTGAATTCCATTTTTGTAGAGATCGTCAGGATGTCGATTTGATGTTGTGACGACAACTACACCTCTCTCAAACAAACACTCGAACAGACGTCTTAATATCATTGCATCTGCTATATCAGTGACTTGAAATTCATCAAAACACAGTACAATAGCATCGTTTGCTAAATCAGTTGAAACAGGAGGAATTGGATCATAGGCTGCGGAATTGGCTAATTTATACCTGTGTAAACGTTTGTGAACATCTTGCATGAATGCATGAAAGTGTACACGACGTTTACGTTTAACAGGCAAAGTATCGTAAAAAAGATCCATCAACATAGTTTTTCCAGTTCCTACATCACCATATAAATATAATCCTTTGGTATTATTAAAAGATATATTTTTATCTGATACACTAAATAATTTTGATAGCTAAAATTTATCCAACTTTATTAATTAAACAATCACAGTAGTTATAGAAATTATTGAAAATAAATAACAACTGATGAGTTCTTACCTTTCCAAATATTGAATCATTATTAACATTGTCTCTAGAATCGGTTATAAGAGGTAGATCGTATCCGCTTAAATTATCATGTAAATGTTGAAGTATTTCTATAATATTACGCTGGAAAACATCATCCCTAATAATTCCAGAAGTAACGATCATTTTATATCTAGAAATAGGACCATCTAAACACACACGCACATACATAAAAAGATATAGAAAAAATAGAAAAAAAAAAAAGAAAATGAATAAAAAATTCTACATAAGAAATTTACCTTTTTGTTTAATAAAATCTTTTGAAAGATGTTTTGGTTCTAGTGAGCGTAAATTACTCTCGTCAGCAACAGGACTATCTACAATGGCACTATAATTTTTTGATGATGTACTGACATGTTTATATTTTGAAAAATTCCAGAGCAAACGACGACAATGACAATCTTTTAAAATAGTTTGATGAAGAATAATTGCTGATGGCGATGGTAGTATTAATATTGAATTTATATCAGGTATTTGATGTCTTTGAATTAAAAAGTTTCTTGATAAAGTTTGAGTTATTATATTACGAAAGTTTTTAATTGGAAGCATAATTTTTTTGTAAAAAAAAATATTCTGATTGAACAAAATAAAAATAGAATCATATTATGTAAAATTTGGCTTTTGTAATATTTGTGACACAAAAAAAAGATAATGTGATTTTCCATATTTTTAATACAAAAATCATGAAATTTAAATATCATGTGATCTATACAACCATTCAACTCAGCTTTAAAAAAAGAATTAATTCAAGACATAAAAAAAAATTAGTCCCATTTTTATGTCACTGATCTTTCCTAATTTTGATAATTCATAAATTCATACGTTTCATTTATTCTTTTGACAAAAGCAATTAAAAATGCAAAAAATAAGTATAAGTTACACAAAAACACAGATAAAACTCAAATTTTAATTTCATCATACAGTCTGCCCTTGTTTCAACAAAGTGGCTGGACATATAAGAAAATTTTATTCAACATTTGTTGAAACAAGGTTACTAATCGCGTTTCAACGAAATTTTATATGTTTTAATAATGTGTAACAACGTTTTTAAAAATTCGTTGTATCAAAAATTTAATCATACTTCGTTGAAACAAGGGTTCACTGTACACAGAATCAGGTACTCTCCTATGTGAACTATACTTTTTCACTGCAAATTCATCAGATGGACCATATTTTCTGTATTTGGTGGTTCGTGGTATTCCAATTTTATTTTCAGGATTATTTCTTTTTCCTTGTTTTATAGCTACTTCAATGTGAATAATATCAACATCAGAATCTGAAGAATAAATTTCATCTGATAAAATAAAATCTGAGTTAGAAGAATCTTATGCTTTATTTTTTTTTCAAATTGGGCCTGTAGACAAATTTTTAGGTGATTTTTTGAATTTTTTCTTTGAGCAATTTGACTTTTTGTTAATGGCATATTTTTAATTATTACAATATCAGAATTTTTTGAATAAAAAATGAATTGAAAAACGCGACGTTACACTAATTTACTTAGTCCCATTTTTGGATCTTTATATATAATTTGGTGCTACTTTGAACCTGCATAACTTGGTCAATATTGAAGTTAAAAGAAATCTAGCCACTGATTTTGAAAGTTCCAATGTTGCTTAATAAAAATCAGTGGTTAGAATTTTTTAAAAATAATTTTTTACCAGGTTTAGTAATGTCAATTTTTATTTTGAGTATAGACGATCGGCACTGTACGATTGGTTGATTTGATTTCAAAGTCGAATCTCACTATCTAGAATATCAATGGAAAATGGTCGTAATAGTAAAATATTGTCAACTATTATTGGCTTACCAAAAATACGATATAGCTATTTAATTATAAGCAACATAAACAAAACAGGATGAACAGACAAATATCAGATCATTTGGGATTTATAGATAACTTTAATATTTGCATTTTAATTAGCATTAAAATTGATTAAATAGATTTTGGTTCATAAAAAAAAAAAATTAGGGGCATTTCTTCAAACATGATGAATTTCAAAACTGCGGAACGATACATACACGGAAAAAAGGACAGGAAAGTTGATCTCATTTAATGCGATACATGGAGACGTTCTTAACCCCGTCATGGAAAAGTTGTATGATTTGGTCATGAAGTGTATGACAATTGGATGAGCCTTTTATTATTAGTTTGTTAATTATATATGTAAATAAGAATCTATTTTAATGCTATATTGCTATATTAATTATAAGAACACAAACAGAATGAGTAAATGTATTATTATTCTGCATATAATTAAATATTTAGAAGTAATATTTTAACATTTTAAAATGTTACGCCTTTAAATTGATTCTTGTTTCAAATTCATTAAAGGATTTTTGATTTTAAATTAATATCAAGTGACTTGAATTTTTTGAATAGAGGAAAATCTACTATGTTGCAGATCGCCCTATTGTATCACAATTTATATGAAAATTAATGAATGATAAATTGAAAAACGGGCGATACGTTTTATTGTTGATGCTCTAGTATTTAGGGATAGATGTAACGGTCCTAAAAAAAAATGCTAGATGAAACGTTTTATTTAGGAATATTGACCAGGAAAATCAGCTGGGACTGGAATGACATTCTTACTTCAATATTCATGAAGTTCTAGTAATTCAACGAATGGTGCTATGGCCTCAAGATAATTAGATAAAGGTTTCAAATCTTGGGGAACAAAATCAACAAATTTTACAGTATCCATTTTCCTATTTTCACATAGATCACCCTGTAAATCTACGTCGTAAATATGTACTATTAATAATAAGTTCACCTTCAGGAAGTTTATGTAAGCTTGGGTTAGTCTAATTAAATGCACCATTTCTGCTGGTAGCCTCGTTATATTATTACAGGTACACAGCACAATACAGTTTATAATTCCTTGCTACATTTTCGTATCTGTTTTCCTCTATTTTTTCAAACGCAGTTCTCTTTTCATATTGGTTGAAATTCTACAATTCTACAATAATAATAGATAATAGATCGTTTCTTACAATTTTAGTCGCTGGTCATCCAAAACACTCTCAATATCAAAAAGATCTGATAGGAGTTTAAACAATTGGTATGGGTTTCCACTTGTTTTTAACAATTAAATTGGTGGAAGCAAACACCAACTTAAAATTAATAAATAGACAATTAATTATCGTTGTTAAAAAAATAAAGCGATATAATAATAATAAATATTTACTAAATAAAATGTTTGCCAACTAAGAAAGAGTATGCCCATTTAACATTAACTCAAAAATCTCTTTTTTATTCACTTGGAATTGAAATAATTATATGATAATAATACCTAAGAAGAAAGAGAAGAATAAAAATAATCAACGAAGTTCAATTTCAAAAATCTTCTAATATTCATTCTTGTATTTATTATTAATAATGTATTTTCAGATTCTAGCCTAAGACGTCTTTTAGAAGTTAGTGTAAAAGTAGATAATAAAATTTATGTTCTTGGAGGTTATAGCTTGCAGACCAGTTTTCTTACTGATTCAATATTTTATTTAGATTTAACTACTGATTTCGATACTGTAAATGTGCCATGGGTTGATTTAACATCTACAAACAGAATTCCCGTAAGGATTGCTTGGTTTTTGGTGTGGTTAGTGGACCATACAAATCAACCATTTTTTTATTCGGTGGAATTATTCCCAATCCAACTTCTGATACATATAATTTCGATAATTTACTTTACACATATGATATAAACACAAAAGTCTAGAGTACTCCAAAAATAACTGGCGTTACGCCCACAAATCGTCGAGAAGGTGGTATTGTGGTGGATGATAAGAGAAAATTGTATATTTTGGTGGATTAGCAGATGAATTTACTGGATCTCCCAACAATCATTTTCGAGCCTTTAATGATATATATACAGTAGGCCTGACTTGGGTCTTAATCACTAAATAATTCACCATCCCCAACTTATGACCGTACTTTAACTTTATTGCCTGATGAAACGCAAATGCTACAGGTGCAATTGGTTATGAAGTTGATATCTATAAAGTGTGAATTTATATATACTGTACATTTGTATTTTTTTTTTGATTTTTTTTTTAAAATAAATTTTTTATCTTGTAGATAAAAATTTTTGATACAAAAAATTCAAGTTGGTCGATTGTGGTGTATATATGTGTGTGTGTGTGTTGTTTAATTAATTATAAAATAAATAAATTAACCCGAATGAAAATTTTAGACAGCCACCAGTTCAGTAACAATTCAATCTCGACTTGACCGTAGAGCTGTACTTGGTAATTAAATTTTTCTTATATTTTGAAAATTTAAAATTTTTTTTTTGATATATGTATATGCATACAAAGCAAATAATGCGAGTATAATTGTTTATAGAGGTATGAGATTTCCTTCACTAGTTACATCATTCCCTGAACTTCTTGTGCTGAACACCGACACAAATCCTTTTCAATACCCAAATTTTCACTTGATAATCGTGCTCCACCTCTAACAACCAATTTAATTGGAAATCAAATGATAATGAGTTTTGGTAATATATTTTATAAAATTTATTTATTCGCCACCATAAAAATTAATTAATTATATTTATATAGGAAATATTACAAATAATAATATGTATCCAAATGCATCTAATTCAGACAATTATATACTTAATATTAATGATTATAGCCGGAAAAAAAATTATTCGGCATCTGAAGCAAACTTAGCATCATCATTGTCATCAATATCACTAATTAAAATCTTAACAATAGTGTTTTCAGTTTAATTGCATTAATAGTAGTGATAATTGCAACGTTTATAATTGCGACGTTATGTTAAAAGAAAGGAAGGAAGAATTACCACATAATGTAATAGAGATTCCAAGTGAACAACAACTTCAACAACACAATAATATTCCAACTAACCTTAATCAAAACCGATCTACCAACAATAGTCCATTAACACCCTCATTTACTAATAATCGTAACACTAATAGTATGTATGCTGGTGGAATGACTTTTTGATAATATGCTATCACCAACTCGTCAACAACAACAATTTATGCAACGCTTACCTGAACAAGAATAACGATTCATATAATAATCAATGAATAATAATTATAACTATAGAATATGATTTTTTGCTTATTTAATTTATTTTGGAAACTATAAGATTAATGTTAAATAAAATAATAATACGCATCGTGAAAATAAACCCTTTTATTACCATTTTTGGAAATAATATTCAAGATTATCACAAAATTTATCCTAATTAAAATTTGATATTAATATATAGTGGAAATTTGAAATGTTACACTGATTTTTTATATTGTGCAACGTAGCTTTACAATACACGGCAAACATTCTGGCAATAAAAAATAAGTGATAAACTGGATTTGAATTGAATCTGAACTTGATCTCCAATTTAGAGAGGTAACAACTATATACTGGCAAAGGTTCAGAAGCAATGAGTTCTGTACAACATTACATGTAATAACAAACTTCTACTATGCTGAAATATATATTAATATATTTATAACTACCATTTTTGCGCGTGATTTGTAAAATAAAAGTAACTAGCAAGTTATATCCAATAAAAAAATATAATCTCATAGAAAAACTTCCAAGTAATATTAAAGTTGAATAAATATATATGATACATTTTTCCAAGAAATATTAATGTTTTGGATTTTGTCGCGTGACGCAAAAATGGTATGTCTTTAGATGATCGGTACTATATTAATATGTCATTTCGTTACACATTGTAAGGGCAATTTTTTCACCATGTTCTTTTTTACTTCTGATAGTGCTGTAATTCTTGGGTTCCATGATGGATTTTATGTAAATTAGTTCATATTTATGTTTTTTATATAGGGGTAGTCAATCATACATGTCATTTAAAAAAACAATCCTTAATGTAGCAAAAGGGAATTAAACCCTAATCTAATCTACACTTTTGGATTGATTACTCCAACTATTATGGAGCGAGAAACGAAAATAAGATTTTCAGGTAAGGCGTTAATATCATGATCACTCCAATTTTCTTTATGACATCAATGTTCACTTTGTCTGATTTTGTTCCAGACTGCCCCAGATCATTTTATAGTTGGTAATTATTTTTTCTTAAATATGAATATTTCATTTAACAGTTGAGAGTTAATAACCAGAAGAAGGAAGAAATGGGGTTTTTTAGTAATAATAATAATAATAACTAATAAAAGAAAAAAGAAAATCCCAAGGATTCAAATGAAAAAAACCGAAAAGAAAAATCCAAATAAAATCTAAAGTGGATGGTGCTTTGAAGAACTCCCGCTATCATACGCTTCGGTGACTACACTACTAACGCCGGGGGTGGCCAGGTCGATTTTTTATTCTTCTCGTGATTTTTTGTTAATTTATAGGATAGATAGATTATTTTATTGAAATCCTTTATATAGTATTTGTTAATAGTAGTATTGTTATTATTTATCCTTTGTAATTCAATTCTTGAATGGAAATGATAATTTTTCTTATCATTTAAAAAGTCTCGACTTTATTTATTAAAAATAGATGAATAATTAATGAATGGTTAACAATCAAATGGGAAACTTGTGAAGAACGTTACATTAGAAGCATAATATTTACCATTTATAAAAGCACAAGTTTACAAAAAACAAACAAACTACAAAAGTGGATTAGTTTATTATAGCAAAACAACTGAATAATATTTCCTATAAATTTTACTAAATATTAAAACATATATGGAAATAATTGACTATCTAAAGTTTACTTTTTATTTGTTGTGATTGTTGATGAGGTATAACAATTACTTTACCAAAAGTTTTTCTAGATGCAATATCGTTCAAACCCACTTTAATATTTTCTAATCCATAGTATATTTTTTTGTAAATTAAAGGTTTTAATTCTTTCTTTTTAAGCAAATCAAAAATTCCATTCCAAACCATTTGAATTGTTTCTTGTTCATCATGTTTTGAATACTCGCCCCAATGCAACCCAGTTAACGAAATATTTTTCAGTAGAACCAAATTCATTGGAATCTTTTCAATGTTACCAGCTGCGAATCCAATCACCACCAATCGTCCATTCCATGCTAATAGGAATATTAATAAAGATAATCATTAAAAAATAAGATTATTTATATTATAATCTAGAGGAATGGAATGATGCTACTTACCAATACATTTTATGGAAGGCTGAATCATTCCAACAGGGTCGTAAACAACATCTACGCCGTGACCATTGGTAATTTTAAGTACATCTTTATACCAATCTTTATTTTCTTTATAATTTATAGCATAATCTGCTCCATATTCCTTTGCTATCTCTAATTTTTCGTTTGACCCACAACAAGCAATGACTTTTGCTCCCAATGCCTAATATAATTAATTATTATTGTTGTTGTTATTATTATTATTATTATTATATATTTCTTTTAATTTTGATTTTCCTTTAGAATTTTTTTTCTACCTTTGCTATTTGTACAGCAGCTATACCGACACCTCCAGCTGCTGCATGAATTAGACACCATTCATCTATTATTATTAATCAAATAGAATAATTAATTAATTAATTAATCAACTTTTCTATTTGATTTATTTCAAAAATTACCTTTTTTTAAATTTCCTCTAACGACTAAACCAGCATAACTTGTAGGATAAGTAACAAATATACCAGCAGCTTCTTCATAACTCATATCATGATCAGGTATTAAATGAACATTTTTACATGAAATAGCAATTCGTTCTGCAAAGCATCCCAAACTACTACCAAAAACTCGATCTCCTGCCTTAAATTGTTTTTTGCATTTTGGATGTGTGTTAATAACAATTCCCGAAAACTAATAATAATAATAATATGATGATGATGATGATGATGATGATGATGATAATCATTAGAAAAGTAATAATAATAATGGTCATTTGATTAATTGATAAACTAATTGTTTATTGATAATTACTTCACCTCCAGGAATAAATGGAAAAGATGGTTTAGCTTGATGTTTTCCTTGAACCTAAAAAGAAAAAAAGGTAAAGCAAGTTTTTAATTTTTATTTTTTAAAATTTTTCTAAAAACTAAAATATTTACTTGTAAAATATCAAAGAAATTTAAAGCAATAGCCTTTATTTCAATTAAAACTTGATCTTCTTTTAGCGTTGGTTCAGGAACATCTGGAAAAACCTTTAGTTCATCAATTGATTTTACCCATTTATTATTAATTACAATTGCTTTCATTTTATTTTATTTTTTTTATAATGATATTCATTTCGACCTTGAAAGATGATGTGATGGCTAGTGTATATATGAAGACGATCATGTGCATCATTTTAATTATTAATTCAGTCGGGGATATTACCAAATATGGAATTTCTAAATACTGACATATTGTTTGGCCCAATTATCCGTTATAACGAGGTATTCGGTAACCAAGGTAATTGATGATAATCACGTGATAATTTTAAAAATAACTTTTTTTTTAATGATAATAAAATTGTAAAGTGCACACCACAATAACCCATCAAATAAAAATTGACCAACTTTAAAACCTAAAAAGAAAATATTGTGTGCTTATCAAAAAATTATTGTGATGATATTTGATAGCTTTTGACTAGTTCTACAATTTATCATTGAGACAATTAAAAAATAATTATTGGTTCAGGAGTTATAAGCTTTTGAAAATCATGTAATTTTTATGTTATGGTTAGCTCGGCCTAAAGACCTCCTATTGCTGCGCCATGTGGTCAAATTTCTAATCGTTTATTTAGTAATGATATTCAGCCAATCAAAATTCATTTTACGTGATAAATCAAAATGTGATTGACGAAAATCAGTACCAAATATGTAAATGTCTGCTATGCTGATTTTTATTGGCTTGAAGATCATTACACAATTGAAGACTAAATTTGGTATTTCCTAATTTATAAATGATAAACGTTCTGGAAATTTCTTTAGAAGAAATTTTGATTGGCTAAAGTTATGCAGATCCTTTTGTTAAACTCTGTAATAAATCAAAATGGAACAAAAATTTGAATATATCATTAGGCTTCTATCCAAGTGAGTTTTTGAATACCATAATAATATTATTAGATCAACAATGAAATTTATAAACAGAGTTGATCATAATCAAAGATAGGAGAGATATAATTATATAGAGGATTAGTAGAATAATTATTAAAAAAAAAAGAAAAGAGTAATAGATTTATTTTTAAATGTGAAAGAATTTTTAAAAAATACAAATTTTTATAATTAACATTAATATTAATGGTGTAGTTATGTTTTTGCTTTGTAATTTTTTTATATATAAATAATAAATATAAAGTTCACTAAACTTTTAAACCACTGTACTTACCTGGACTTACTTTATTTATAATAAAGCTAAAATTCTTGCTGTGTAATTCCTGGATATCCTAAATCATCATGGTAATCAAGTTCATTATCTATATTAAACAAATTAGTTACCTCTTGTAATATAATTAGCAATTCACTTCGATTTTTTGACTTTATTGCATGATAATTTTTTCGAATATTTTCATCCATTTGTTCAAGGAGAGTTTCTATCTTGAATATTATTTCTTTTTTTGACAGATTTTCTTCTTTATTTTGTGCAATATATTCTTCTTTAGTTATTGGAATTGGCCTAAATAAAGGAGCTTTATTTTTCTTATAAAATACTTCCATAATATATTCTTGTTGTTTTTTTTTTGCTATATAACTAAAATTATTTAATTGATCACTTAACTCATATTCTTCACCTAAACTTTTATGAATAGCCCTTGTTTCCATTGGATTAATAAAATTAAGATTTCTTAAATAAGCTCGAAACCTTTGACATTCTGCAATTGGTTCAGGGCAAGTTCTTGGTCCAGATGTATGTATATCATTACATCCAATTGTTTCAAAAAATTTGTTTCGCAACTAAATATATATATAATAATATCACAAAGTAAATCAAAAAGTCAATTTTAAAATTTTAAAATTTCATATTATATAAAAGTTAAAATTATGTTATTACTAGAAAGAATTTTTTGCAATTACGTGCTGCAATTATCCAATGACGTTCTTGAGGAACTGGAGGTATTAAAGTTTTCAGGGCTTTATTCACTTCTTCTAAAATAGCATCCATCCCTTGGTGTTGGTTATATAATCCTGAACGAGATACTACAGAATTTTGTTCAATCATATCACAAATTGTTGGATGAAGTTTTTTTAACTGCACTTCATCTGAGATTTCAATTAATTGATATATTGGATGCCTTCATGCAGACCAAATAGGTGAAAAGGCTCTTCTTGCTGCACTTTTAAGCAAAGGTCTGTTAGTCCTTACACCTACTCTAAAGTTAATAATTGCTTGTAAATATATAAATATCTATTCAAACAATTGGTATAAAAATGTTAATAAATGATACAATAATATATAATTGCAATAAAATAAAAAAAAATCTTTTTTTTTTTACTTGTTCATATTTAATTTGATAAATTTGATCCTTTGTTCTTTAGCCCAAGCAAGATAACCTTCTACTGTTGGATTAGCATGAGTCTTTATATATGGCCACATAAGCTCTGATGACATTGCTTGATGATAAATTCTGCAAATAGAATCCCAGGATTTATGGTGATCAAGACATTTTTTAAAATATCCAAGTTGTTTTTCTGATTTATTATAACCTTGTAATTTAGCAAACTGTTTGATATCTATTTCCCTAATTTAATAATTAAAAAAATTATTGTAAATTAAAAAAATTTATTGTAAATATAAATTTTTTTTAATTAAAAAGAAAAGAAATTAAAAATTACCAATTCAGTTCAACATATGCACGAAGCATGTTCATTTCTTCATGTAACTGACCAGGTACAAGTATCAACCAAGGAAATTTCTCTTTTATTTTGGTAGCATGATGATATGGAACGCCATCACATGCCACAGCTACCCATTTACGAATTCCTTCTTTAATCCCAGAAATTTTTTCAATGTGAAGAAGAATTTTTTCAACACTATCTATTGAATTAGGATTAATATTTAAAGGATCAGGAATGTAAATATCAGGAACTTTAACACCTGAATCAGCAACTGGTTGTTGTGTAATACTGATTCTGGAAGTAGAAGAAGCTCTCAATTCATTTTCAAAATTATGAGATTTAAAGATGAGAGGCTTTTCATAATTATCTGGTGTGCTAACTTCTTCAATTATATTTTGCTTTTGTAATTCCCCCAGTGTAGGTAATTTAGCATTACAACTAGGACAATTTTGTTTTCTATTTTGAATGTTTTGTTCATTACAATTAGGACAATATTTACTAAATCTATTGTTTGATTCATTGTTTTCTACAAGTACATCAATAACATTGGTTGAATTAGATTTTTCTTTGCATAATAGGCCAAGGATCTCTGAAAGATAAGTATATAATTCTTTATCAATTTCTTCTTGCATTTCAGGTGAAAGTTCAAAAAGTTCTTTGTATTGTTGTTCATTAAGAGAATTATACACCCAAGGATTATTTATATGTTGTGTTTCATTGCAAGGTTCCATATTGAATGCAACAAAACTAGTAACGATATGGAAAATAACTTTATTAAATCCATGATCAAGATAATTCTTTTGTCCTTTCTGCTCATTATCAAAAGCAATAAATAACAACCCATTTGGCAAAGCCTCTTCTATGTCTGATAATTCTTCTAGCCATTTTTGAAAGTAAAAATAACTTCCACCAGATGTAAGATGGTTATCAATATTTATAACTGTTTTTGATCTTGCTAAAGAATATTTTATTGCTGATGCCACAAGATTAATCTCTGAGACATATTTCACATGACGTGCTCCATAGATTCCATTAACCACCATTGCACATTTAAAAAGTTTTTTATCTTCATGTTGGTTTTGATTTTCATTGAATATAAGTGTCTCTATAAATTTAACAATAACTGGGTTTTGTTTAGAAAGCCATTCAGAAGTAGAGTATTCTAAAAGGCTATCCAAACTAAATCGTCCCTCATCATTCATTAAATTAATAATATCAACATAAAGATTTTTACGTTCTTTTTGAGCAATTTTTGTAATTGAATCAATTCTTGATTGTTGGTCATCAAGTGTTGTATTTAATTCCTCTTTTAGTTTTTTATTTTCAGATAATAATATTGTGTTTTTGTCTTTTAGTTCTTCAATTATTTGTTCATATTTCTTGATCATGTCAACGTAATATATCCTGTCTTTCTGATTCTTCTAATTTTTTTTGTGTATCTGACAACTCTCTCATAAGCTGTGTTTCTGGATCTGATAAAGCAATTTGAGTTTCATTGTGTTTTAATTTTTTTCTTTGATTATTTTCTTCATATTCTTCTAAAGAAATTAAAATATCTTTTTTTTTTAAATTCTTAAGTAAAGATTCTTTGGCAACAACCTGATTATAATGTTTTTCACAAAATGAATAATTGTCTAAGGAATTAAGTAATAAAGACAATTCAGGAAAATACTTAGCCATAACAGTCATCCGTGATGTCACAATGAGTGATTTTGTTATAGCAATTGACATAGTACTTTTCTGTACAACAGACTTTAAAACCAAAAAAGAACAAAAAAGCATGATCAAACATCCTTCGTGTTTCTATGTAAACATATTTTCATAGTTTCTCTCTTTCAAACACAATCTTTTATACTTCATTAGCTTTTTTCGTTCAAGAGAAATAATTATTTGAAAAGGCACATACTTTTTGCCTTTGGAACCACCATCCTTTTCAGGGAGAAGACTCATTGAGATCTTTTTAACATTAACAGGTAGAGTATAATATTAGCTTTTGAAAAATATATATTTATTAGGCATTTTATTTTTTGGGGAAGAAATTAAAAGCGAAAAACGGTATACATTATTATTTACTAAATTTATTTAAATATTTTAAATTAATTAAATATTTATGATTCTCTAGCATTTTTAGATTTTCTTTTAACATGGTAATACCAGTGGTCTCTTACTCTTTTGTTAGTCCATGAACCATTTACTTTAACCAATTCTTCATTTATTCTCATACAAACTTCTTTTGGCAAATCTGTGTAATTAAGAAGCTCCTGAAGAATTATTTGTTCTTCTTCTGTATATTTTTGGCTTTTAGGAAGTGGAGATCTTACCTCTTGTACTCTTCATTACTTGCTGCAGATATTGTCTCTTCTATTACAGCTGGTAAGTCATCATTTATTTGTTCTGTATCATCATTGTTAATTTGATTTTGTTTCCTTTTCATATTCCTTTTGCTCACTTACTTTAATATGAGGTAGATTTTTTTTTCGCCTACAAATTTTGGATTGTGGTTCTGTTTTATAAATATCTTGATGTAATATACGATTTAAATGTTCAATTCCTATTTCATAACTTTCAAACATTTTTATAAAACCAGATTCATTTATTTCTTTAGCATTTTTAAAAAAATCATGCATTTTAGGATCTGGAAGATCAAACGCCTTGTCTAATTCATTTACAATTGACCATAGGACTTCTTTTCTTTGCATAGCTGCATGACTACCTTTCACTACAGTATTGTCTTCAACAAATTCTGAGAAAAGCAGCATCATACGTTCATGTTCTGATTGAACTGACTTAATTTGCAGTGTCAAGTTCTTGAGGTCTGTAGTTTTACCAGTAATATTTTGCTTTATAAATTTTACACCAAAAAATTCTAATGCCTCATCAAATGAAAAAAAATGTCCTTCTCTGGTTAGATTAACTGAGCTCACATGGGTAAGTAACTCTTTCTGTTCAGGATTCCGGTGAATTGATTCAAGAAAAAATACTACTGATTGAGCATAATTGCTTTTTCCAGTTATAGGGAACAATGGAGCAAACGCAGCCAAGTTCTCTATCTGCATTTCAAAATTTCCTCTACGTATACCTAGTTGATGGCATTTCCAGAATCCAAAATAACGGTAGTATAAAAACCATATTCTTAATACATAATTATTTCCTTCAAGAATATCATCTACTGTCATATTTCTTTTTAATACATATTGATTAATAGATATTCCAACAGCTGCCCAAATTAATTCTAAAACACAAGATGTTGCTCTATAATCAACATTTTTTTCCAATGTTTCTAAAAAACGAACACCAAGTGCAGCTGCTATATTATAAATTCCATAACCACTAAATGCTGTGATTAAGGCACTACACATAGCTTTGGATGTATGCCATCCACCTAAAATAAAACGTCCAGTCATGTTATCATTATGGTATGATTTGGTTCTTCTAAAGATTGCTTCATCACAAGCCATGTCAATTATATGTTGTCCAAGATCATCAAAGTACTTATTTATTGAACTAAAGACATTTTCATTATTTTTAGGAGCAGGTCCTGCATCAAGAATGACAACATTTGGTGGTGGAGCTTGACAGCCTATTTCAATTTTGGATGCAATTTTTGAATTAATATCCTGAACATCAAAACCACCTTCATAATTTTCAATAAGCTGTTGAAATATCATGTCAATATTTTTTTCCCATTTACTAATTAAAGATGATTTCCAAATAATGCATCACTGTGAGTCTGTGGATGATTGATTTGTAAAAATGAAGCTACTGGAAATGGAAGTTGAAATTGAAGGACCATCCTGAGTGTGGCATGTGCAGAATTTCTGGTTACATCATATATGTTTCCATAATGAAAGGTTGTATCCTTAAAATCAATGTTGTCTATAACTGCAACATTCCAAGTTTCAGGGGTTCTGAGCAATTTTGATCGAGGATCTACATTTTTCATTCTTTCTTTTTGTTTTTTTTACTTCATGATCCCATGAATATGAGACAAAATTTACTGTGTGGAGTATTGATTGCAATATTGAAATCATTTTAGGTCTTCGACAAAGTGATGCCATGGTATGAGTTAACCATATTTTCCATGTTGGAAATGCAACTGTAAGAATCATTGAAGCAATAAAAACAGTAATTTTCTGAATTGAAGAAGGATCAAAATCTTTTGGAAAATGTCCACGACTCTTTCGTTTTCTTTCAGCAACTTGATGCTTTTTTTGTATTATAAAACCAATCATGCCATCAAAAAAATTAATCAAGGTTTTGGGGAATGAATTATAGTACTGGTTTAGGGAAGTTGGATTTTCTAAAATTGAAAGATTTTGTTTAAGTTCTTTGCATGAATTCCAAATGGAATTACCCAATTGTTTTCCAAAATTTTCACAATTATTAACATTTAATTCTTCTATTGGTAGATTAATATTGGAGTCATGTAATTTCATGGCAGTGTTTACAAGGAACACACTAGGAGTTGCTGCTTTTGATAATAATTGATCGGTAGAGTTTGTTGTTTCCAATAGTGGCATTAAATGCAAAGTACTTTTCTTTTTTTATCATCATTTTCAGATTCGGAAATTTTTGTAATCCATTGTGCAAATAATTTTAAAGAAAAGGTCACATCATTTCTATGTAAGTCATCATTAATACATGAATTTGATTTTCCTGATCCTTGACGTTTGTGTAAATGTCCACCATAAGCTTCAAAACATTCTGTACAAATGTATCGAACACGATCATTATTTAAGGCTTTAAAAGAAATATGTGGAATATCAATAAACACAGGACAGGATTTGAGGCCAAGACAAGGTACTTGAATATTTCTTCCAACAAGATTCCAAGAGTGTATTGCACAATCATCACCCCTACTGAAAAAATATTTATATCTATCACACATAAGACATTTTTTCTTTTTTATCTTACTTTCATTAGTACTTTGTTTTTTTTTAGAATTAGGGTTATGAATCTTGCTATTATCAAAATTGAAATGACTTGTACAAACACCATATTCATATAATTTAAAATCAGAATTCTTCCCTATAGATGCATCCACCTCCCATGTTCCAAAAAGCTGTGCTATTGATACTAATTTTTCTGTTGAACAACATCGAGAAATCTCTCCTTTTGAATTATCAATAATAACACATGGTGATAATTTTATAGGTAAAGTATTTGGAATCACTAAATCTTCTTCATTATCACTATCAATTAGCATATGGGATTCGTCATCACTTTCTACATCTTCATTCTCATTTTCACTTTGAATGTATTGAAGATTCGGAGATTCAAATATAGCTTTTGCAGCCTTTGGAGCTGATTCATCTAATAAGAACATGCTATAATCATTATCCTCCTCAAATTCATTATCCTTCTCACATTCATTATCCTCCTCACATCCATTCTCCGATCCTTCTTCTTCTATTACTACATCATCATAATTTACTTCTTCCATCAATTCAATTACTTCTTCGATCAAATTTAAATTTTCTTGATCCAAATCCATTTGTTCTTAGATTTAATAAACAATTTACAGCAGATTTATTGTTATGGATTATAATTATGGAATTTATGATATAGGTTATGGAATTAAAATACAGATAATACACAGGTAGACTCAATAAGTCGGTCCCTCGATAAGTCAGTTTTGGCCTAAGTCAGCCAAAATTTTTCAGCCCTTTTTTCCCTATTTAAAATCCCTTGATAAGTTAGCCGACCTATATAAAGTCGCGATAACTTATAAGTCAGCCAACCCCTCTTTTTAGGATAAGTAAATTGTTCTCGATA